TATCCAGGGAAAGAACCTCTTAGAGGTACGGGCACTTGGTTATACCTTCTGAACACCATGAAAGAAAGGCAGTGCATGATAATGTCCACCAGTAGGGCATGAGGTCTGGGATAGAAGACAAAAAGCTCCATCTGACATGATCTCTGCTAAAACTTCCCTGTCAGATGTGACTGCTCTCACACCCAGCAACAATGCACTCTTCAAAGGTTCATGCCTGCCTTTCTAACAGACCAGGACTCCGTCACCCTTAGGCTGGGATATCCTATTAGTCATGTGGGCAATGTCCAAACCTTACAGTCATCAATGAAATGAAAACTTTGTATCTTAACATTGTCTCCTGCTCTTTGGACAGAGCAAGACCGTTGAGGCTCCTGACCTGATTTAGGTGTTCGCCTGTTACAGAGCTGAGTGTGCGGCACACGCACACCGGTCACCAGATTTAGACATCACCACATCCAGGCATGTCGATGCAGCTGGAAACCCATTGCCTGAGGCTCAAGTGCAATCCCTTCCCAACCTCTTGAGCTATTCAGGTGGCTGAACATCGGTCCGTTGAGCAGATCATCTGTTCAGCTAGCGCTGCTGTGAATCTACACGTGCTTATCTTATTCTGTTTATCTGTAACGAGTCATCAAACACCTACTTATGTGACACAAGATAGCTGCTTGTGCATTACTGACACAAAACAGAACTGCAAAACTGTTTTGACTACACAGTTTTTTTCTGAAATCTTCTGAGGTGTCAACTCTTGTAAAGATCAAAATTGTTTCTTTAAGATTCAGAAAAACTGAGTGACCAGCTTGTATTACCCTTTTTTTTCTCCAGGTTGAACACTTACCTTAAAGAGTTTAACAGTAATCCTAATTTAATATACCCGTTGAGTTTCCATGGCAGTTTCAGATTTTCCTTTCTACTCACCTGTGAAAATGAGGTTTTACTCAGAGTAACTACACATCAGTTCTGACACCATACATACTGTGTATATGTACATATCTTGATATTTAAAAATTACTGGGTTTTTTTTGGACAAATCATTATTAGGTTTAGCAGCAGCAGTGGAGGTAGAAGTATCATTATCTCCTTTCCAGGAAAAACTCATTCAACATCCTCTTGAGGCCAGCAGACAGTTCCCTCTATTCAAGGACTACTTTGAAGACCACTGTCAGAGGTCATGAGAGTCACAACATGTGCTAAGTGATGCACAGCTGGCATAAGGAAGCAAAAAGATGCTTTATGCTTCTTTACTCCTTTTTGTCATCTTACAATAGCGGCACTAAATTAGAAACCCTTATTTTCATCAGATCTGTATTTCACACACGTGGAGATGGTAAGCACGATAAATTAGAGAACTAGGATGATAAATTATCATTCCCTTCATCAGCCAGGCTTCTGCTTATCTAAGACGTGAAAAATTCCAAATGCCTCAATATCTCTGCAGAGATGCCTAGGGCTAGGCAGACAAAATTCACTGTTGGTCTGCTTCTTCCACATGAAAAAGGTCTTTATTTTTAAGGCTAATCACCTTGAGGACCTTTTATTACCACTGACATTTCTTTATCATCTCCTCATCCTCCAAAAAGGGGGATGCATGAGAAGATACTTGATTTTATTCTGATATATTATGCACTTTTATGCAAAACAAATTTTCTGAAATACGTTTATGCAAAATTTCAGTGTGTATGCGACCACACTGATTCTGGTCACTAAGAGCTTGATAAAAATAAAATAATTGCTGTTATATTAGGACCTTCTGCACAATCTCATTGATCAATAATAAACTTACGTTTAAAGGCATTCTGCTATAGAACTTTCCTTCTGCAAACACCAAACTCCATGACTGTCTTGGAAACGAAAGACCAATTAAAAAATGCACATCAAAATAAATATTCTCAAATGTGTTTCCTACTGTGTTTATCAACAGGACTGTGTTCATGTTGGTAATGTTAGTTGTGTGAAATGACTAATCAAAGTAGCGAGAGTATCATCCATCACAATTTGTCATTTTTGAACTTTTGCTGTCATAATTTAGTGTTTAGGCAAACTCTTGCATAGAACAAAAGGCCTATCACAAGGCAGAGACCTCCACTGCACTGTTGTTACATGTAAATATACTAGTAAAACCTCTGTGGGAAAAAAAGATCCATCACACTCAATTACATCAAGTTTGGCACAAATGCTTTTTCTTTGTGGTTTGCATAGATCTCCTCCATTCATCAAAGAATTTAAGAACCTAGTTTGTGACCGAGCACATCCTGTCACCCTTCAAGCTTACATGTTGATTTTTTTTTTTTTTCCGTTGAAAGAAAACATGGGTGATGAAAGTAAAAAGAGACATAGAGCTATACTGTGGTCACCCAGGAACCTGGAACCATTCCTTAGCCTAAGAGTAAAAAGTAAATGAACAGTGTATTTCAGGGTTAGATTTATCAGAAGTTCCATTTCCCTGAATAATTTTAATACCTGATATTTATGGAACCCACAAATTGCTCCACATTGCTAAGAAAAACTATTAGTACTGCGGAAGAAAAATTTTACCCTGATGAATTCAGCGAAATAGTACATACTAGTATTTCACATGAAATGTCATTAGTAGCTTCAGGAAAGCAACCACAAAAAGCTTTGCAACTATGCCCTGAAGAGACAGATGTTTTAATCAGTGATACAGGCACATTTATCCAAATTTTTTTCTTCTAAGCTTATGTCAACTTAAATCACACATGAATCTGTGGCATTAATAGCAGGAAGAAAGCTGTGGAGATGTAGAAAGTTAAAAATTTTTGTTGTTCCTTGTAAAAGTTTATAGAATTTCCTGCCCAAAATTATTTTACTGAACTGATGAGGATGCACGTATAGGCTATTGATCAGGTTCTCAGTCTTTCACCCTCCAGCGCCTGCTGTTTTGCACAGCTACAGAGCCTGGGGATTCTGGGGCTGTTAAAGGACTGTGAGAAAGAGTTTCTATGGAGAACCTTGGTAAAGTAAAAACCAACCAAACAAAATCCATTGGGGATCATCACATCGATGTGTAATTTAAGGATCTTTAAGGCATGGCAGTGGTGGAGCTCAGTATCTCCATTGAAATTCTGCCTATAAACTTAAGACCAGATTCTGATCTAATATCTAATAGCTCCACTGACATCAAATGCGCATTTCTAATTAAAAAATTAAATTTAGTTATTTTCTAAGTAATTGACACTTAAGCAAGTGTAAAGTAAATAAAAATGTCTCATTGAAAGGAAACATGAGATATCACAATAAATACATATAATCAGGTCTGTAATAAGAGTGCATGATTTCAAACTTATGTTACTTGTATACCCACTACTTAAAATTTAATTCTACCTGAGTATTAAAGATATGAGATTCTCTGCCAGAAAACAAACAGTAATGTTTCTGAAAAGACCAACTACTTACGCCTCATAAAAACTGTAATTATGCAAAAATTGAGGGCCAAATCCATCTCTGATGATGTCAGCGGAATAAAAGCAGAACCTGTGGAATCACAGCTGTATGGTATGAAACTATTTAATACAGTATTTTTATAGAAAATAAAATAGTTTTAAAATGCTATTGACATAATATACAGCTACACACCTAAGTTATCCAAACATGTGCAGAGCTGCAAAAAACATTCAAATAGAAGTTCTATAAAAAGCAAAAATTGTCATTAAGAAAAGGAATTTAGCCACTTGTACAAAGTAATGTTCTTTCCCTTCAATTTGCCCTTCCTTAGTTTTCATTTTATAAGCTAAATTTAAAAATTAGTCAACACACTGAATTAAGTATGTAGATTTTCATTTAAATAAATCAGTCCACAATTTTTTTTATAAAGTATTTAACACTTCATTGTAGAAACATAGGCAAAATGACTATTATAACCAAAATGAAAAATACTGTTCAATTTAAAAAAATGTACTTAAACAAGAACCTGAAAAAGTTTATGATATGCATAACATTGTTCAAGCAAAATTGCACTAGTATTACATAAATCAAGAGTTTTATAAAGGCCCCAATATGGCAAAGTTTAGAAATAGGTAGTATGCATGCACAATAGTACAACAAAAATCTTTTATAAAACAGCAGTTATTTTGTAATGCTTGTACAAAGGGAATAAAGAGCAACCACAAACATATTTAATCTGTTAGCTTAATATATTATGATAGCTAAAAGTCAGTCATGTCTAGCAGAGGAAGGAAGAGTCCTCCACAGTATATGTGTGAATAAGTCTTTTGTGCCTTTAAAGTTATGTATAAAATATTTCGATTCAGTTCAAACCTGAAAGAAATCGTATTCTTTATTTCCATCAAAATTAAAAAAGGTGAGTCAGATTTTTCCTCTTAGCAACAACAGAAAGCAGACCAGGTCAGAGCAAGTGCTGGAAACTTATACTGATGCTTTTCACTTTTGATAATCAGACTCTGATATTTAACCCAGACTATTGAAACTCGGGTTTAGGTAAGGTTTCAGCAATATGCTATTTGGTTATGTTTTACCTCCGCAATATCACAGTTTATCTTCATTTAAAGAAACTGCTGTCTTTTGTATTCTTTAATATCTCTAAACAGGTACGACTTTTTTGTGATTGTCAAAACTGAATGCTGTGATCATCTGTGTGTGCTTAAGGTTTGGGGTTTGGTTTTTTCCCTACTGCTTGGTATGTGTTGGGTAATTATTAATCCATAAGTAATGCATGTTATTAAGTGAATAAACATATAAAGCATGTGTAGGCAATGCCCTCTTGTGCTCTAGGGTGGCTACTGTCCTACAGGACTGTTGGAGTTCATATGCTTTGTCCCACGGCAAGTAAGGTTTCAGCTTCCAAGATATATCATTACTATGTTCTATAAGGTTTTAATAAATACAAAGCTTGTTTACATGGTATATATGTTTAGTATATCATGTACAGTCACTGAATTTCTGAAACATAATCATTGTGTTCATGCAGATCATTAGATGTTTCATTTCTATAGTCTCGTTTACTTCTTGGCAACCTAAAGCTAATTTAAAAGCAAGTTATGTTTGTTTGTGAAAAGTTATCTAGCTTTACCAGGATCTGAAGAGAAATTCTAATGGGCACAAAGAAGAGAGTAGACCGTTCAATCATTCTTTCACCATTTAAAATAAACAAAATTACACACTGTACTACAGCTTCCAGACTACATAATGAAAAAGTGCAGATACCATCTTCATTGATTAAGTAGAACCAAAAAAGTTCATAGAAAATAGATTGCTCATTTTCACGCTACAAACGAATATGTTGTTTGCAACTTTAACAAATTTAAAGGTGTGTTATTTCAGCAGCATTGTTGTAAATTGTACCGTAGTGCAGCTTCTTTTTCATAAAAATACCTTACAAATGGTCAGTCAAAAGTCATCAGCAAAAGAAAAACCCAGAAAACAATCAACCAAACAAAAAACAGAGGTAATGCTGATGCCAAAACAATTATAATACTGTTGGTACATAGAAAAGTAATCCTTATATTTTATACATTTATACAGAGTATAAAAGGTAACAGCAGATTATGCCACAGTCTCCCTTATCCCAATATCTATTTTCTTTGGAAGGAGTTCTCTTCTTTCATCAACACTTGCTAAGGAGTTTCGACAGTTTTGTCCATCCATGTATAACTTTGCATATACTGGATTGGCGTAATTTGTTGGCTGCAGAGAAATTAAGCATACATTAGATCAGTCGGATTAAGCAAAAATAAACATTTATGGAAATGGAAATGGTTTTGTTAAAGCAAGAACAAGTACACATAAAATATAATTGGACATATTTAATAGATACCTGGACTTCTGCAAACCTGATGAGTTAATTATTTAGTTAAAAAATAAATTCTTGATGACACATGCTATTAAAATAATCAATGACATGACATGCAGCATATTATGATATTAAAACCATAAAAACAATGACAAAAATTAAAACAAAAACCTTGAAAAATGTCTCTGAAGTTGACTTGTCCACCTTATTACACTGGAAGATTTCAGAATAGATATGAAGAAGTTTATAGAGAAGGTGCACTGTGAGACCATGTGACAAGTTTAACAGTAGAAAACTGCAACCAGCAGTTTCCATATATTACCTGTTCTAAGACATCAGCATCCCATCAATAGCTGACCATGTTTTCGAATTCTGTGGCCCAAATATACAACATGATTTGACCAAAAATTCAATACTTTCGTAATGTAAATTAAACTTTAATAATAAACCAGCATAACTGTTAATATAGCATAGTAGTTACAGATTGAGAAGTATTTTCTCAACAATTTTGGTAGTTTGGACTGCAATGAAAAAAATCTATTAAAATGAGTGGTACTTCAGTATAGGACAAGTCCATTTTTAATTCTGCAAAGCACTGTAGTAGAATGAGAAATCTCCGGAGCGTGATGCACAGAAGGATGTATAACATGGATGAAAACTTACTCTCCTATCATCATGCTAAGGAGAAAGCACTATCCAAGGTTTATCATGTAAACGTCTCCACTAATTCCTTCATACTTTGTGCCTTTATTAGTTCCTAGAAGGCCTTTGCTATCCAACTAGATGTTTGGCTTTTTACCTATAACTGGAAAGGGTACCTGTGGTCAAAATTTTCCTCTTTCTTGTAACTAATGCAACAGCACAGCTTTGCTTACACAAATACTGAGTGGAACACCAGTAAGCTATAAAATAGGTAAATTAATTTGTTTGGTGTATATAAGAAGTAGCTGAACTTTAAATTACGCAAAACAGAAGCGGGTAGGTTTTCTTGACTTGCAAATATCCTGAGTACACCCTGGGTAACAAGAAATGAAAGATATCTAGAATCTTAGTTCTTCCTTTCCCTGTCGATCAATATAATTTCTGAGCCTAGGATACAGATATTCCTTATGCCGGCTAGCTATGGCAGCTAGTCATTTAGTTAGTTAAAAACTGCCTATTCCATCTGTAACAGGTGACAAAGTGACTGCCTGGTGTTTCACACTTGGCTGGAATGGAGGCAGAAAAAGGTGTGTCACATTTATTCAAAAAAAAAAAAAAAAAAAGAAAGAAAGAAGCAGCTATTCTTCTATAGTAATGGATCATAAATATGCAATCAACTGCTGTAGTAATTTGTGAGAGCAAACTCTCAGTTACACCTGTCTGCCCCCATTGAATTAGAGATCTTTACATTTGTTGTAATGATTATAATCAGAAATTTAGGAAAACAGAAATTTAGTTTTATTTCAATTGACAGGACTTTTTATTTCATTGACAATCATTATCAAGGATGACAACCACAACAGAAGAGAGACACTTGGCATCTACATAGTGCCTTATGTAGTTATCAAAATTATAAATAATAGTAGGCTCTGTCTCATGATACCTCTTTGAGTGGGTACGGATAGCATAGTGCAGTACAGTGAGGTACAGAAAGTGACTTGAATAACAGAAAGAATTAATGTTAGCGATGGGCATATATTCTAGCTTTCATCATTCATGGTTTTGTGCTCCATCAGAAATATACCCTATACAAATTGCTAAACTTCCAAATACAACATATTACAATCATGCACGAACGCAAATGGCACAAAAGATGAATATATATACCAAGGTACATGAAAATGAATGTCATATTGATGCCCCTTTTTAATATTTTAAATTTCCATGTTTGCAAACTTCATGCTAATTTGTAGTAAAAATCTCATGGTTTAGAAGTAACTATTTTATGATAAAAATTGATTGAAAGCTGAACAATCGAAATACACATTACAAATATTAAAGGAAATGGTTCTTTTTAGTGTGTATCAAATTCCTCTAAAATAGACTTGTTTTCATTTATTTGGGAACATTTTTCAGTTTGATAAACTTCACTGAATGCCTGTAATTACATATAAATTGCAAACATATAAAGATGCATGGCTGTGAATGCTATGCTAAACTTACATAATGCTATGGAAAAGCATCACATTGGTTACTGGTCTCGCGTTCCTTTGCAAAGACACATTTGCAGTTTTAGAACATGTTACAATGATGGGTACAGATGAAATTTTGTATGAGGAGAGGAACCCTTTATTTCAAACATAAAATGTATTATTTACTGTCATTCTTCTTTCCATTAGAAGAAGAAAAACAAAACTAAAAACACACAGAGAATGCCTCTATTCAAAAATGACAGACAAACTTTCTTTAGAAAGGGGCTGTGGTGGAATGAAATGGATTTGAATCATCATTTCTCACCCCTGTCGATAGTGGTCCTTTCAAGTCAGAGTTTAGGTAGACTGATGGAGCTGTGTGGGGAAGCTTGAATGCAGTGGGCCCTCCCCCTATGTATCTGGCCTGTATAAACAGAAAATTTTAGTTTCTGTGCTAATAGAGCATTTTCCATGTGTACTTATCAACACTGTTTAAAATAAACAGTGGATCGATTAAAAACATTATTTTAGAGTGATCTACAGTTAAAAAGATCTACTTACAGGTATTCTTCAGCATGAAAAATTCTTGCATTCAGTACGAGAATAAAATTCAGCATTTTAAAATCATTTTCTATTAAGGTTTAGAGCCAGACTTCACAATAAGCATTGGTTCAGTTACTCTTCCTCCAGTGAGTAACTCCATTTTCAGCTTACCTCTTGTATTCAGCACACTGACTATGTGATTCAGCGATGACATTCCTAGAGCTAACAGTAATCCAGTTATTGCTTTGTCAGAAATGCCACAGAATGATGGCTGCCCTTTGGTGTATGTCTGATTACGGAGCTCTAGGAAAGATATCGCAGCATTATCCTGTTCATCCCATGTCACATCACTCAGGGAGTTCAATCACTGAAGAGTGGTGCTGCAGAAGCGACAGCATCTTTTACAAGAAAATGATTATATTTACTAGCTTTGTGTAAACATTTAATCTATCTGTCCAGCCAGGACTCTGAATTCTTTGTGTCTTTGGAAGTTTTCATGTATGAAATAAGGTAGTCTTATATGTATGCATACACTCTTTCACGCTTCAAATGGTAGACTGTACAATAATATATTTCCATTCAGTATTTGTGACTAGACTAAAAAGATAGGTTGCAATTTGGTAACTTAAGGCAGATGTGTCTATGACAAAAAACTCATTTTGTATTTTAGTTCTACCTCTGTTTTGGTAAAATGCAGGCACTAGGAAAAATGTCCATCAGGAAGCATCAGACTTCAAAACAGCTGTTAACATACACATGATATTTATTCTAAAGAAATACAACTTACCATTATATTCATTAACTAAATCTAAACATCATTATTTTATGTTTCTATTAATTACATTTAGAGTTAAAACCTTTGTAAGACACAAAATAAGTAGTGGCTTTGCCACTAGAAAAAGAAAAAAATTACCTTTTCTGCAGTTACAGTAAAATCTGAGGCTAAAAGACCACCTTCACTGTGATCATGGCCCACCTCATACATGTTATATGATGGATTGCCAATTTCTACATTGATTCCTCCATTTATAATGGGTTGTCTTCTGATTGTTTTTGTCCTGTAATGCATAAACACAAAAAAACAGAAGCTAGTGACTTTTCAAGTGATTTCTTGGATGCTTCATTTTAAAATAGTACAAATTTTATTTTATTTCTTATTAAAAACAACAGGATGAAAAAGCATTTCCTGCAGAGACAATCCGAAAATCCTTCCATTTTTCAAACAAAGGAGCAAGATGAGTCTATGTGTAGATCTCACATAAGCTTGAAGTAGCTTTTTATTGTTTTTCTCAGTCTGGCTGTAGTGGTATGAATTTACACAAAGTGCTAACTCATTGTCTATAACCCTGACTCCCTCCTATTATTTCCAGATTTCCCTCACTTCCCAAGGAAAGCCTTGCAAATTCATTGCAGATTCCCTGCAGTAACGAAGATGGAACGAACATGAGTCATGTTCCCTTGCTCATGCATTTCACTTCCATTTGAAATCAGTTGCCCAAAGTCAGTTGCAATCTAAGGACAAGCAAATGGTTTTATTATGACGCATGAAAAATGTATGAACTTCTTGTAGTTCCAGTTTGTATTCCCTGTCAGTGGTTATTGGAAAGGTGAAGTTCAACTTGAATTTTTTCAAACTTTATTAAAAGATAGAGTCTTATTTTTAACCTTGAATTAGGTATCAGTAAAGATAAGTGATTGCGTTGAACTGTTTCAGTTGCTGAATTAATTTCTTTTAGCTAAGGAGGTTATTTTAGTCTGAACAATTGAAATAATCTCGAGAGGGTAGTTTTTCCCAATGCAATATGTTTTCTAGAGTTACAAGGGAATAATAGGGAGGTCACAGTCAGGATGATAATAGTTGAGTCCTCTTGTTTGGTTGAGAAAGATGCAGTCAGTATCTGAAATCCAATATACTCAAAGGATCTGCATTTATCAGAAATGGCATAGAAAAAATATTTCCTAAAATAAGCACCTATCTGTACTGTACAAGTGTTGAACATTTATACCTAGTATAATTTAATTTAAGACAGTTGTCTTTAAAGAGATAAAAAAAAACCTAAAATAATTTTCAAATACAAGTTTAAGAAAAAAAAAGTTCTTTATTGGAGGTTAGTTCTATTTCTCTACTGAAGATCTATTATTTAACAAGTTATTCTCAATAAAGTAAAAAAGTTACAGATCAGCAAGTGGTTTTCAGGATCTGGCTATCACTAAACTTGATTTTTAGGTACAGCAGCACGTAATGACATCCATGGAGCCTGGTAGGGTCAGCGTTACTAACAGTATGGTCAGGGAATGTATTTATCTTGTTGGATTTTCAAAAAAGGATTTAAAAATTAATGCTTACCAGTTAGCACCAGAGTGTGCAGGGGAGATGCTATGTATGATGCTAGATGATGTTGATGCTATGTATGATGCTATGTATGATGCTAGATTCACTGGTTTAGTCTGGAAGACTGAAATAGTCTTATAAATGGTCACATTTGCAGAAACAGCAGATTCATCACATATTTCTAAAGGACTTTCCAAAAGAAAACATCATCTTGGTTTCAGAGGTGGGGTAACAAGCCCCAGGAGAAAGACAGACAGCTGCTCAAGACCAACCAGTTGGCCAACTATAGGCATGAAGTAAATGGTTTGCTGTCTGATTCCCACTCCAGGTCTTCCCTAGTTGGCCATGTCTATATTACTAGGAATCTTTCCTTGTTAAACCTGCATCGCCACTAACATCACTTTCTCATTTCTCTGAATACAAGAAAGTTAGCAACTCACTCAGGTGTCTGCATACAGTAGAAACAATCTTGCTTCCCCTGCCACCCAACATGGCCTTTGAATAAACGGCCAAAGTCAAAATGTCTGCTACACTCCTCAAGTTCATTATCAGCTCTAAGGCAGCTAAATTCAAGAGCACAAAAGATTCACTGTTCAGTGTTGGATTTTGGCTTCTGACGCAAGATACTAAAGAAATACAGTAATGATGACAAGGCTTGGGACTCTACAGTAGATACTTTGAACATTGTTTACATCTTCACTATAACTTACATTAAATTGAAAAGAACTACTCAAAGTAAGTAAATTGAAGTAAACTGTAAGGAGAAACTGGAAATTCTGCACGGGCTCTATCTGAAAGCATTTGTAGACATGAACAATATTAATTATGTGGTTCCAATCAAACACATTAATTCTGTTTACTAAGTTCACCAAGTCTCTGGATAAAATTATTAACACTTATATAGCCTTGTCAAGATTGAGCAAAATGGATAAGAAAAGAACTACATTTTCTTATCTACTGTATGTGGAATATAAGTATAAATAATAGACATGATTATTCCAGCAAGAATCAAAATGTAACTAACTCACTGCATCCAGAAACAAGTTTGGGGTTGTTTGTTGTGTTTTTTTTATAACATCTGCTCAACAAATATAAAGCAAATCTTTTATATCAAAAAGATGCACATACTTTAAAGATTTACTTTGTTACTTCATACATGAATATAAAATTACTTACCTTCGTTTCCTTTTGCAAAGAAATAGTCCAATTACCAGAGTAGTGATCAAAGTCACCAGTAAAACAAGAGGAACAATGATTGCAATGCTTCCTAAAACAGGAAAAGGAAATATCATTGAATACTCACAGCTACAACTAATAATTTCTTCACAGCCGTAAAACAGTTAAATTAATTTAAAAAGAATAATTTCCCTCACCAACAAATGCAATTTCATGTGATGAGCTTCACTGATTTGATATTTTAATGCTGATCAATAAAAGAAAATATCATTACAGATAACGGTGAACACACAGGTACTTTTAGCACAAACAAATCAGGAGCTTCCTCTTTCTGGATACCAATATACTTTGGACTATTTCCCTGCCCTCATTTGCAGCGATATCGTATGAAGGTGTGTAGAATTGCTGAACAATTTGGACTGGAGAGGCACGGCCGTTGACTTTAACTGCCATCATCATCTTCAGTAGTTTCTTTAAGTCACGCAACTGTTAATTTAAAATATTCAGTAGGTATGGCTCTGATTGAAGAATTCCATTATTAGCATTTATATGTATTTATTACTTTTATTTGTGGGAAAATGAAAAGTAGTAAGCAATATTCATTTCTAGATGGTTGGTGCATTCCTGTATTTTACTGCATTGTACTTGAGAGCCAATAATTTTGTTATGTTGATATAGGCAGTCAAGGAAACTACAATAATGCTTAATGTAGCAGAAAAACAGTGCACAGATCAGACAGCGATGTTAAAGGAGAGGAGGGAACAGGGAAGAAGAAAATGGGCTTAACATTATATTGGCAGAAAACTTCACTGAAATGAGACTACCTGCAAGAATAAGGTCAGCAATTGTACCCTTCTAAGAATTTCTCAGCTTTAATATAAGTATCTGGCAATAGAGAACAAATAATTTTATGCTATAAAAAACTGGCCCTTATAAACTACAGGACTCCAGTATAAAGTCAATGTGGAATGACATGCACTTCCTTTAACATCGCAACCCTTAACTGGTGGAAAACAAAAAAAATTGCTGGTTGTTTCATTGGTTACATTTATTGATTTATTAAAAAAAAAAAGCTGTTGGCAGTCTCTGCTCTGCATTAAACACAGTCTAAATAAAACATTGAAAAATATGCCTTGAATTCTGCCTGAAGGGTTACTGAAAGCCAAGGCAGATTGTCAGAGGCCCAAAATGAAGTAGTACTGAGTAAAAACTTGAACTACCCTGAGTTCACTTCAGCTTATGAAGATTCAGCATGTAAAGGGCATTACAACAATGCTATTTTAGGAAAACATTTGATGAATAACTGGATGAAGTCTTACTTAGGAGGCAAAAAAATCCGTTCCTTTCGTCTCGGCAGTTAAACATTCAAGAAAAAAAAAAAAAAGAAAAACAGCCCACCAGGCATGAATTGCCATCTGGTGACCATGGTGCAGCCTGGGGTCTAGGAGCCGGAGCAAGACGAATACTCATTTCCCACACCATAGCAGGTATTCCCTCAACATGAAATACTGATCTAGATTCTGGCTGCTTTTTAGCCCATTTCCAGCTTGTAAGTGTTATTTCACTTGTCTGGATCGCTAGGAAGATTTCATCTAAGCATCAAGCTGACCTGAATAGTGGGCAATTCATTTTACTGCTCCAGTTGGGTTAAATGTGACCAAGAGACGTACAGCAGGGTACCATCAGCATACTCAATGCACCGCAGGGAACCTTGTCCAGTTTAAACTGCCAATACCATAGCAATATCGCCCTTTTATGCTTATAGACATGTTTAAAAAAAATATGACAGGAGCTATTCTTACTTTCAGCATGATTTTCACAGTAGGTAAAATTCAAACCTCAGCAGACAGCCAATACAAAAGTTATGAACTACTTACAACTCTATTTTTGATGCTTTCAGTAGGATTTAAAATGGTCAGAGGTCTCGTACTAGTTCTCTGCACAGCAGTGGTATCACCAAGCACTTGCCACTTGATACACTTCCTTTAAGAAAAGTGCAGGCTAGCCCTTGAAGCACAGTGTATAGGATATGGCTTGCATCCAAACCACCTCATGAAACACTAAATGTCAATCAAAAAGTCGAGCGAGAACTCCTTTTGGGGTTTTTTGTTTGTTTTGGTTTGTTTGTTTGTTTATTTTTTAAATGAAGGTAACCAGCACATTTCATGACAGAAATTCACATTCTAAAATATCACCAGGTTAAAATTTCTGAACTGAGTCAAATTTGACAAGTGATAGCAGTTATCTGAAGTACTACTTACTTGTACTGATATTGTCAGACTTGCTGCTTTTGGGAGCTGGCCTCTCACACTGTGTGCCTGACCAGTTGGCTGAACATCTAAAAGGATCCAATTAAGATGGTAAAGTTAATAGATGTCAGCTATTAACACACTAACCTATTAAAGAGACCACTAGTATCTTCTTAAGAGCTACACGAATGACAACAGTGACTCCATAAAATAAACAATAAGCTTCATGGAAGGAGTCAGCAGTACTCTGCCATGGCACTTCCAACATTCTGAGTACATTTTTAGTTTAAAACTACAGCTTTGTATCTTCAATTCCTGTTACTATCACTGCTATCTTCATTCCAGAGTCCTTTTTTAAAATTCTTGAATAACAAAACAACAGGCATAATCAACAGTATATTAGCATCCTATTAAACCAACTACCACCTACAACACAATAATGAAAGAGCACTTGAGCTGGATCCACACATAACCAACTTAGTCCACCAAGGCTTATTCGCTAAGGCACTTTGTTTGCACCGTGTTGTTTTAGGGTCAGTTTTGATCTAGAAGTTCTAACAGCCACGTCTGTATTACACAAAGCACATCCGACTGGACATACCACACGCATCCAGTAACCTGCAGTATCCACACCAGTCGGCTCCTTCCATAGTTCTGCTGTCCCCCATTGCTCTGGATAATGCAAAGTTCTTACAGACCGGGTTGTAAAGATTTATTTGAACAATTAAGACCTATCTTTGACTAAGATTCACAAATTAACCAAAGTTCCCCTTTTGTTTGCTTTTAGATTTAAATGTTTTCCTGAAATTTCTACAGTTTAATGGCTTTATCTTTGTAAATTTTGAACTATATAACTAGATATGTATTTGCAGAAATATATATATGTGTGTGTGTGTAAGCAGGTGTGAGAGTTAAAGCATAAAGAGCAGTTCTGAAGGGACAGGAGTATCTACTGGTTTCAGAGGGTCGTGAATACTGTTTATGTTCTGAATATATGCTTCACAAGCCAGGTGCCTGGATGAGTACACAGTTATTCTGCTCTGATTTCCTTGTGTGAATATCAATATGCAAATATTTCTTCAGTTGCGATTCAGAATGCTCTCCATGCATACAAGCAAACACAAGGAGTCCATGTATGCAGACTCAGCAAATCCATCAAAAATGGAAACAAATACCTGAACGAAATTCAATTGCTTATTCACCCTGCTGTAAATATGATGAAGTTTACTACAGAACCTCAAACTCTTCTTGTGGAAACAGCAGGAAGTAGTCACTTTTCATCTCTCTCTCTTGCATATTGTGCAACGAATCATATTTTTTCTAAGTATTTTTGAATTATTTATGAACTGCAACATGGTTTATCTTTAGAAAAATGCAATAGAGCATTACCTTGCACGCAGTTCTCAGAACTACTGTTATCTGACGCCTTTCTAAGGATCTAACAAATTGCAGAGTTTAGAGGTGGACACGCTTAACGATTGACATTGTTCTATAATACAAAAAGGTTTGGGAAGGTACAAAATATTCCAGACAAAATTGTGGAATTCTTACAGGAGAGCCCTAGTCAGCTTTGCTGGTGATGCCTTTGACTCTCTTTTATCTTTGCAGATCACTACAGAAGAATGGCTAATTTCTCTCTTTGCTCCTAAGCCTATTCCAGCACAATCCAACATTCAGATAAATCTCTTTACTGAGTTTCATATTAAGTTTGAACTTTTTTGGGGGAACTAATTTCATTTTTTGGCTGGATATGTTGTGAAGGTGCTTAACTCAAACTCTACAGAGGTAAGGCACAGATAGTCTTTAAAATAATTGGTAGTTGATTCAAAACTTTTCACACAATAGATAAATTGCATTATAATTTAGAAGTTCTTCATGTTTATTGAAATAAGTTTGTTTACTTAAACAAACATGGTAAATACACACAAATTTCCTCACTGCAAAGGAATCCCCCCAATTACTAATTAATTACAGACATTATGGTTCACAATGATACATTTTAAAACTCAACCCAACTGACACTTCCACTCCTGCTTACCACCCCTTCAGCACATTCTAAGTCACACGGAACACATTATTTTCATCTTTTTAAAGTTGCATCTGTTCCATTTTTTTACAGATCTCTTTTTAGCTGTTATATCAAATGGAAATGATTACACTGACAGCCTACCTTACTAAGACACTATTCAAGGAACTTATTTTTTCAAAAGATCACTATTCAACACACGGCCGCAAAATAAGTTATCTCCATTCTTGTAGAGAAACACCATACGTCTTTATACTTAGAATATTCTACTGCGATTCAAACTGTTGGCATGTGACAACCATGAAATAAAGTCTTTATATTTCTTATTGGAAGTTTTGCATCCTTGCTATTGGGTTTCAGCTTCTGTGATTAAAGCTTGCTATGAGAGGCAATTTTCATTTAATACTACATCACTGAAAGGGAAAGATTCCTTTGAGAGTTAGATGTATCTTAACTTTGTACCTAAATCCTTATATTCTTTACCTATCTTGGCATTTTATTTGTAAAAGTCAGCAATATTGAAACACTTTTGAGGCAATTTATAAAACTCTCATAAAACCATGATGGCTAGTTGCCCCTTCATTTTCATTTTTTCCAAATGCTTGCTGTCTCCAATAAACTTCAAAGGGACTGAAGCTGACAGGATGGAAATAATTTCCTTCTAGACTTTGAGGTAAAACGATCGCCCTTTTATGGTCCAGCAAGCTACAAAAGGCTTGTCTTGGGCAGACAGAATAGAAAAAGAAATAAAGCCCAGGGGAAAGGTATGTGGTCTGCAAGGGAACTTGACACAGAAAATTAGCCACGAGCAGGCATATGAATAATGATGGGGTTGGGACATGGACAATTGTTCATGTAGGAACATGGGAGGTGAGCAGGTCTTAAGTAGTTTCAATTGTCTTCAGATACCATAGACAGAAATTGTTCTTAATAATAACATTTTCTGCTATTAGGAAATTTAAACTCAGACTGTCAGTATCTAGAATGGGAATTGACTTCTGGTTCAATTTGATGTACAGTTGTTTGTACCTTTCCAAACCATTTGGTACCAGAAGCTTTTGTTCTGTAGCACTGCCAACAGTTGTATGGTCAGAGATAGGACATTTGCAGTACGGGCAAACAAAAAAGCACTAACGAAGGAGAACTACATAAAGTCACTGGTTTCTTCTTCATATTATTAAGAACTGTGAAGAAAGAACAGTGATGATGCCTAATCCGAGCTACACATAAAGAAATACAGATGTAAAAAGATGGGGAGCTTGACAGCGAAGGACAGGCTGGAGACAGCTGAGTGCTGCAAGCTGCCACGGTGAACATCTTAAGGTGCAAATCTCCAGTTCCCAACAGAATCAGTGAACAAATCAAAGTGCAACAATATCATAGAGAATACAAATATAAAAAATGAAAGCGAATGTAGTAAATAGAGGTTGTACACGGTCTGCTGCAGGGTCATTAATAAAACTGTGCTACAGCTCTCTGTGTTACAATTTAGTTCTACATTTAGAAAGCAATGATTGCTTGGGAAACACATTTTGAGACACAGAATGCCTATGCAATAGGAATTATTTATTTTGAGGCAATTGTATTACAAAGAGAGATGTTTTAAAAACTTTAAACTGAAATTATAAAGGTGTCCCACTTGTAATGAGGAATATTTAGAATTAAGATATTTACTTTTCAGAGATTGTTATAGAATCTATTCATGAGCGAAAATGTCCCTCTCCTCTACTTTTGTATAACCCTTACAGGTCAGTGCACTGAAACACTCTAAACTCAGTTATACAGGCACTTGACCAAAAGGAACCATTTGATTATGAAATGTCTGAACAAATAGAAAAAAACTAGTAAAGCAGTTAATTTGGTGGCAGTGTGCAATTTTTTTCATTTTTGTTTCTTTTTTCCTTTTTTTTTTGTGCCACAGGCATTGTCATAAAAATATAATATAGCAGACATAATATGCAGCTAAAAGTGCTTGTCTAGACAAGTGCTTTCCAACTCAATACACCAGTGTGTATCAAAAAATGACAGAAAGCAGCATTGAAAGATTAATCTAGAAGTATAACAGAATCTGTGAAACAGTCATTACAAAATAGAGGTGGAAGGGGAACTGAAAATGTCTCTTACCTATAAATGATATTTCTTCATTATATGAAGTAATTTTCTAACTTTGCTTTTCTTTTTAGTCACAGCATAGATAGTAATGTATAGTAAAACATCCTAATGAAAGTATCCAGCTTCTCTATTTTAAGAACACTTACATTAAAATTTCACTGAGACATGTTTTATCATTAATATTAAAATTATTTGTAAGACAAGGGAAGAGAACATCTGGATTATTGTTATTTCCTCTCTGTATTAAATTCCCCTGAAAGACAGAAATCAAAATAATCCCCCTTTCCCCCCGAGACTCTGTAGGATGACACAGGATGACAAAAATCCTTGCACTAAATCAAATAATTAAACTATTCCTTCTAATAAATTTAGCAACGCTTTGGGAAGTATTGTTTCTTCATACAGGGAGCTGATATTATAGAGTTACACCCACAGATAAAGCCTCAAACATACAAAGAACTTTCATAACAATGAAAGACCAAAAAACCCACCCCAACTTTGATCAAAAGCACATCTTGTACCTTATCTTATGTTGTAGGGTTTAATTATTCTCAAATAATAACTATTCCATAGTTATTTTATACTTGAACAGACCACATTTTAGTATTTTTGTCTCATGAGCATCATTTGGTATCTTTATAAGGAAAACAAAGTGAAGGAATTCAATGTAGAAGGTAAGGGATAGAAAATTTACATTACTTGAAAATGAAATACGTATTACTTTGCAATCCAATAAATTAAGAACAGGAAAATTGCATAATCCGAAAGCAGGCAAAACAACAGAAAATCTGTATTGAGGAACCCCAAAAAAATCTTAAATTCAGTAACAACACACATGAAAAAGTAAAACTTTAAACATGAATTTTAATTTTTGCATGACATTACTATATACCAATCATCATTCACATTGCTGCTGTCAGCAGCAATGTGAACAAGCCTTCAGATGCAACTCAGCCTCTCTCATCCCAAGGTAAGAAAAAGTAGTAACTGAGGGTCATTAAACATCATGCTGTTAGCAATATGTGTACAGTACATATGCTATACAAGTATTAACATAGAGTAAATATATAGAAATTAAGCATGTTTAAATGACTACTACTGTAGCTGAAATTACACTGAGCAACAAAGCAAAAGGAAGAGATTGAAATAGTAAAAAAAAAAAAAGAATGAGAGATGACTGGATCAATAGACATGTGACAAACCACATTTTTCTCTCCTTCTCACAGAGGCAAAGTAAGCAAGTTTTATCGGAACAATTTTAAACTTATGGACAAAGTATATCTGCATTACAGCCTAGTTAGTAAATGTTCAGTAAAAAAATTTTAAAAATATAAAAAACATATAGTGAGATATATATATATATATAGCGCTATAATCTGTTGATTATGTCCAAATTCAAGACATTTATAACAAAGGTATTTTCAGTTGAAAACGAAAACTTTCAAAGAGCTAGCATAATATTGTGAAATTCCTGTGTCCTGGTTTGGCTAAAACAGG